CCTCGGACACCTGGCAGAGCGGCGCCGACCGCCTCCTCCAGCTCCATCTGTCCCCCCGGGCGGGTGGGGCTCGGGCTGGAGCCGAGTGTAGATGGTGTGGGGTACGCTGGGGGCCCGGAAGCAGAGGCGTTTGCGGAGGGTGGGAGAGAGGTGGGTTAGGGGTGGAGAGGGCTGTCCTGAGGGTGGGAAGCTGGGTCCTGGGGGAATATCCCAGATTGTCCTAGGCCTTGACCGTCCTGGACCAGAGAGAGGGGTTAGGGTCGGTTGTCAGATGTCTTTCCTCTTGGAAAATCAAATAGAGAAGGGACTCAGGGTGTGTCTTCTAAGGCCTCGCTCTCCATTGGACTTAGCTCTCCTGCCCAGCGCCCAACCCCCAGCATCCAGGCTCTCTTTTGCCAAACCATTCTCCAAGGACCGGATGCCCTGAGTCCCAGTCCCCGGGACGGGACCGAGCCTACCCTGCAGGGCGCCCGCCCCGCCAGCGCCTCCCCTCCCCCACCCACCCGTCTCTTCCTGATTACTCCTCTGTCGTGGCTCCCCACTCACGTTGGTTCCTGGCACCAGGTCCGGGTTCTCGCCCTCCCCCATGCCCTGGCCCTCCTCTCCCATCAGAGCCTATCCCCTTCCTTCCTCTCTTCCTCTTCTTTCCCATGGCCCAGTCTGTACTGCCTCTCCCACCTCATCCTGGGGAAGGGTGAGGGCTCCTGCCATGACCTGTTCTCTCTTTTCCCAGCACAGACTCCCCCTCCCCCCGGCCCCTCTGGCCAGGGGTGACCTTGCCCCTGGAGCCCTCACCATGAGTACCAAGGACACCACCGAGGTTGCTGGTGAGTCCACAATCCAGGTTCCCACTTTGGACACAACCTTCCTCTCTCCCTGCCCTGTGGTGCGTGTAGTCCTTGGATTCCCTGCTCTCCTTGTTTCAGTCCCCGCAGTGCCCTGGATTCAGCCCTTTGCCCACGGTCAGCACCCTAAGCCCTCCTTTCTCGTTCCCTCTAGAGAACAGCCACCACCTGAAGATCTTTCTCCCCAAGAAGCTGTTGGAGTGTCTTCCTCGATGTCCACTGCTGCCTCCAGAGCGGCTGCGGTGGAATACAAATGAGGTTTCCTAGGGAGCGTGGGGGCTCAGAGCGTAGAAGGTCTGGGGAGAGTGAATGAGGGTCTCCCTGTGTCTGTCCACGCTCCCACGTGCAGAGTGTGGGGGTCACCGGGGAGGTATAAAGACCTGCATCTTGTGGGAACTCACTTCTTGGCATATCCACCTGAGTAAAAATAATAGCTACCACCTTTACAGCATTTCTTACAAACCGGGCACTGTGTTAAGCACTTGACCTCCATTATCTCCTTCGGCAGCTCTGATGATGCTATCTATAGAGCAAGACTGTTATCCCCCTGGTATAGATGAGGAAATGACTTATCTGACTCGCTCCAGAGCGCCTGCTTTTAACCACCACTTATGCTTGCTCCTTCTGGAGGGCATGTCCCGTGTTACACACCTTCTGTTCTCCCTACACCCAGTGCTTTCTATGTACTTGGTGGTTGATCATTATCGATTTGATTATTTGACAAGAAAAGGACTGTCAGTCAAAAGGGGTGTGTGTGTGTGTGTGTGTTATTAGTGCTAGAGAGGTCAGCAGCGCTTCATGGAGGTCTGGGAAGGGATTTGTCTAGAGGATGGCTAGGAGTTCCAGACTTAAAGAGATGTGTACATGGCACTTCAGGGTGCCATGAGGTTGTACAGTGCTAACACTGAGGATACTGCTGCTCAGCTCAAGTTCAGGGAAGAACCAATGGTTCGTTCTGGCAGGAATGTAGGTGCAAATGGGTAAACAGTGTGAGCGTAGGAGCGATGGTTTGATCCCTGGTCAGGGAGAGCCTTGGAGTCAGGCTGAAGAATCTGGAATTCCTGGTGATGTCAAACGATTGAAGTTTTCTGAGTCAGGAAGTGGCACAAACGTGGAATTTGGAGAGGAAGATAATGATGAACAAAGAATGATGAAGGGCTTGGGTCTGGCCCCAAGATAAAAGCCCCAGTTGGCAGGGAGGGAAGGAGTCAGGCTGATGGAATTCCAGAGGTTAGACTTTTGTTTGCGATGGAACCTGAGATGCTTAGAAGGGCAGTGAGCCTTGCTGGGTCAGATAGCTGGCAGCATCCTCCACTAGCTGCCAGAACTCAGTGGAGAGGGACTCTGAGGGGTGGCCAGGAGGCCCGTCTGAGACTGTATGCAGGGGACACCCACCTGGGTACCTCCTCTTCTACAGGAGATTGCATCCTACTTGATCACCTTTGAGAAGCATGAGGAGTGGCTATCCTGTGCCCCAAAGACAAGGTGAGAAAGTTTGTGAAGGTGGCGAGTAGCAAGGGTCCTGGGTTCAGTTCACAGAGCTCAAGGCCAACCCTATCCTCTTCAGGCCTCAGAATGGCTCCATTATCCTCTACAACCGCAAGAAGGTGAAATACCGGAAGGATGGTTACCTCTGGAAGAAGCGGAAGGATGGGAAGACCACCCGAGAGGACCACATGAAGCTGAAGGTCCAGGGCATGGAGGTAAGCAAGGCATCCAGCTCATCTGCCTTGGCCCACCCTTCTCAACCCTTAGCTGGATTCCAGCCCTGTCAGGACTTGGCACCATTGTCTGCCTCACCACCCGCCCTTCTCACTCGCTTTGCATCAGCTGGCTGATAGCTTAGCCCACCCTCCACACCCATTTCCTTCCATGTCCCAGCTCTGCAGGCCTTAGGTTATGCCTCCCCTGGAGGACACCAATGCCCAGTCCCCTCACCTCACTTGTATTTCCCTCAGGGGTCCAAGTATTGAACCCCTAAGCACAGATTTATCTTCCCCAAATCATTGCTCCTCATCTCAGTTGTGTTCTTGCCCTGCCCTCCGATTTCTAGATAGTTCTATATCTCAAATCTGATCCTCATTGTAAAGCCCCATTATTCCCTTCTCCTGCCTCTCATCCATGATTTGGGGTGCTGGGATTTTAAAGGTGTGGGGAAGAGGTGGGGTGGGTAAGGGTTGAAGAGGAACTGGTGGAAAGATTGGGATTCCTGCAAAGGGACTGAACAGAGGAAGAGTTGGGGAGCAGACTAGCCCTCCCCCCACCCCAGCCTGTCTCCTGGCAGTGTCTCTATGGCTGCTACGTTCACTCTTCCATCGTCCCCACATTCCATCGGCGCTGCTACTGGCTGCTCCAGGTAAGGATGGAAGCGCTCAGGGAGACACACTCTTCCTGGCTCTTTGAGGGAGATGGGGTCTGGAAGGGTGCAGTGAAGGATGACTAGTTCTGAGTGGGTACAGGAGCCTGGGAGATAGGGAGTTTGGGATGGAGAGACCCAGAACTTGGGGATGGAGCTGGGGGATGCCTGGGGGAAAAGTGAAGACTAGGAAGCTGAGCCCTTGGATCTCAGGACCCCATCGTGCGCTGTGTGTACCCTTGTGCCCGCAGAACCCTGACATCGTCCTTGTGCACTACCTGAACGTCCCAGCCCTGGAGGATTGTGGAAAGGGCTGCAGCCCCATCTTTTGTTCCATCAGCAGTGACCGTCGAGAGTGGCTCAAGTGGTCCCGGGAGGAGCTGTTGGGACAGCTGAAGCCCATGTGTAAGGCAGCAGGGCTAGGACAGTGCTCCCAGGGGAGAGTGGAAACAGGGGCCTCCCGGAGGCACCAGGAGCCCTGTGGGGTGACCATGTCCCTCTAATCCCGAGGGTGCTTTCCTGCGGGGGTGCTAGGCCTCCTGGTGAGTTCTACAGTGGAGAAGGGACAGCTGGGAACTACAAATGCAAGCAGTCTTGGGGCTGCTGGCCTCCTTGCACCTGGCCAGAAGTCTTGGAGCATCTCAGGTGCTTGAAAGAGCGAGCTGTCAAGGTGCTCTGGGGACTTTTGTGGGCGTCCCATAGAACTTCCCCCCAACTCTCCTCTAGTTCATGGCATCAAGTGGAGCTGTGGGAACGGGACAGAGGAATTCTCTGTAGAGCAGCTGGTGCAGCAGATCCTGGACACCCACCCGACCAAGCCTGCACCACGAACCCATGCCTGTCTCTGCAGTGGGGGCCTTGGTTAGTGACCCCCGACTTTGGAGCTCTCTTCCTGTCTAGTCACACTGCACTTAAGCCAGGGGGTTATCTGTCTTGCTGGGATTTGCATGCCTTCCCATCTGGGTGCACCCTGACCCCGGCTCCTTTTACTTGAGTCTTGGCAGCCCCGCTTTTTATCTGCCTTCTACCATTAGCAACTCCTTCCACCCCAGCACTACCACTTGGACCCAACCTTAGCTTTACTGCTAAGTGGTACCCCTTTGGCTCTGTTCTTTTGTCCTTTTTTTTAATGCTTTTACCTATTTTTCTCACCTTTCCTCCAAGCCCTCAGTCCCCCCACTCCCCCATGCTCCTTCAGTCCTGTTTAACATGGGGAAGGAGGAGTGTTTCTGCTTCCCCCCAGTGGCCATAATCAGTATTACATCTCTGGTGTATAGCGGAGTCCCAGGAACTACATGGTGTGGGGAAAGGTGGGGGTGGGTAAGGGTTGAAGAGGAACTTGTGGGGAGATTGGGATTCCTGCAAAGGGACTGCACAGAGGAAGAGTTGGGGAGCAGACTAGTCCTACCCCCAACCCAGCCTGGGAGTGATGGAGAAAGATGTGTCATATCCCTTCTCTCCTCCCTACCTCTTCCATTCCAGGTTCCGGGAGCCTTACACACAAATGCAGCAGCACAAAACACCGCATCATCTCTCCCAAAGTGGAGCCCCGAGCTTTAACCCTGACCTCTATCCCCCATCCCCATCCCCCTGAGCCCCCTCCACTGATAGCCCCACTTCCCTCAGAGCTCCCCAAGGCACATACCTCCCCATCTTCTTCCTCCTCTTCCTCCTCTTCCTCGGGCTTTGCAGAACCCCTAGAGATCAGACCTAGCCCTCCCACCTCTCGAGGGGGTTCGTCGAGGGGAGGCACTGCTATCCTCCTTCTGACTGGACTGGAGCAGCGTACTGGGGGCTTGACGCCCACCAGGCACTTAGCTCCCCAGGCTGATCCTCACCCTCCCATGAGCTTGGCAGTGGTCGTGGGCTCTGAGCCCTCTGCCCCACCAGCTCCTCCCAGCCCTGCCTTTGACCCTGATCGTTTTCTCAACAGCCCCCAGAGGGGCCAGACATATGGAGGGGGGCAGGGGGTAAGCCCAGACTTCCCGGAGGCAGAGGCTGCCCATACCCCCTGTCCTGCCCTAGAGCCTGCTGCTGCCCTGGAGCCCCAGGCGGCTGCTCGGGGTCCCCACACACAGTCAGTAGGAGGTGGGAGGAGAGGAAACTGCTTCTTCATTCAAGATGATGACAGTGGAGAGGAGCTTAAGGTCCAGGGGCCTGCCCCACCCGTACCTTCACCCCCTCCTTCACCACCCCCCTCCCCTGCCTCCTCGGAGCCATCAGGCAGGGTAGGAAGAGGGGAGGCCTTGTTTGGAGGAGCTAGTGGGGCCAGTGAGCTGGAGCCGTTCAGTCTTTCATCATTCCCAGACCTTATGGGAGAACTCATCAGCGACGAAGCTCCAAGCATCCCTGCCTCCAACCCCCAGCTCTCACCTGCTCTTAGCACCATCACAGACTTCTCCCCAGAGTGGTCCTACCCAGAGGTGAGTCTCTCCCATCCCTGTCCCCTCTTACCCCCTGGTATGGGGCCTAGTTACCATGGCTGCTTAGTTCCCCTTCCAACCTTTGTTTTTCCACAGAGTGTGGCTTCTTTCCTGTTTCTGTAGTCCTTCTGACTCACCCTTCTCCCTCCCTTCCCCTTCCACGGGGTTGTAGGAGTCCCCAAGTGCCCAGGGGACTTCATTCCCTTGGCGACTTTCACAGCGAGGGAATTGGGGCAACTTAGTGCGGAGAAAACATAGTCGGGATATGATTGCAGACTTTGGGAAGCTAGAGACTGTCTTCATTAGTAGAGAAGTTCTGCTTTATGCTGCCCTAGTGAGGGAAAGGAGGACCTGCAGTTGGGGCCTAAAAAGGAACTTCCTCCTGATGACAGCTATCTGCAAATGAGTCGGTGGCCTTGGGTGAGGCTAGCAAACTCGGGTGGAGGGCAGGGATGTTGGGGAGGAGGGACAGGCTAGCTGACCTGACCCCAGTGGGTCCTGTCCAGTCCCTGTACCACCAAGCTTTAGCACAGGGCCTGCCACATAGAGAGACTCTCTGAGAGTCTACATGAATGAATAAGTGAGTGAATGAATACCCAGCAGAGCTCTAGCCACATGGCCTTCTGACTTCTGTCTGCAGGGTGGGGTCAAGGTGCTCATCACGGGCCCGTGGACGGAGGCCTCCGAGCATTACTCCTGTGTCTTTGACCACATCGCAGTGCCCGCGTCACTTGTCCAGCCTGGTGTCTTACGCTGCTACTGTCCTGGTATGGGGATGGGGACTAGTTGGGGAAGGGACTAACTAATGGCATTTAGGACTTCTGGAAGCACTGGGGACAAATGTGTTGAGTTGTTCCTGAGAGCACAAAGCCCTCATTCAGTCTTTTTTTTTTTTTTTAAATGAAAACATTTTTATTTTTTATTTTTTTAAAAGTTTTCTTACTTTTTCTTTTTTTTCCCCTCTTTTATTGCTTAAAGTATTACAAAGGGTATTACATATGTGTCCATTTTTTCCCCCCGCCCTAGACAGTCCCCTAGCTTCCCCTATCCCCCAGTGTCTTATGTCCATTTGTTATGGTTATATGCAGGCATACAAGTCCTTTGGTTGATCTCTTACCTCATTCAGTCTTGAGGCTGAGTCCCACGGTCCCCCAGCAGGCAAATGAGTCTGGACTTAGGTGTCAGAAGGTCTGGGTTCTGGCCTGAGAAATCTACTCCTTACTGGACTAGTGACCTTAGATACGTCTGCCCTTTTCTTGGGTCCTTGGCCTCCCCTCCTGTAAGGTCAGGTATTTGACCCAAGGAGTCTCTAATGTCTGTTCCAGCCTTAAAGCCAGAGTCTAGCTCTTGGAAGAATGAAAAGGGAGAGATGTTGGTCTCCTCCAACCAATCTTGAGACTGAAGGACATTGGCTTCCATCTAATACAGTAAATGTTAGCCACATGTGCCTATTGCAATCAATTAAAATTAAGTAAAATTTAAAATTTAGTTCCTCAGTCGCACTAACCACATTTTGAGTGCTCAGTAGCCACCTGGCTGGTGCTACCCTATTGAGCAGGGCAGATAAGCATTTCCATCATCGAGGAACGTTTTGTTGGACGGTGCTAGTCTAGACGTCACTGCCAGGGCAACCTCCAGTGTCTGCCCTTTTGCCACCAACCTTGCCCCTTACCCTGCACTCAACAGTCAGCCTTACTGTGGGACCCCAAAGGCTCATCAGGGACATGGTGACAGCTCTGTTGTCGGTGCGTGTTCTCCCCATCTCAACAGCCCTGTTCAGTGGTGCACAGATGGTGCATCAGGGACCAGGGCCTGATGGCTTCCTTTTCAAGGCTATAGGTGGGGCGTCGCTCTCACTAGACACCATTGGTGAGCAGCTGGCTCTCCTTCCTCCCATCTTAGTAACAGGGTCATGACGTCTGGACACTGATTCTGGGAGACCAAGGGGTTTCTATGCCATCAAATTATTTATAAGTATAGGTGTCTCTTGACCCTCAGCTTCCGGGCCTTGGTGCTGAGTAACAAACATCCTTAACTACAGGGTCTAGAGTCCGTAGCAGGTACCGAGTTCTCACATGAATGGAATCCCTTCCCAGTTAGTGCCAAGGCCACCGAAGCCAGCAGCCTCTTGGCCCACAGCAGGGAAGCTGGGAAGCTCAATATGAAATGACCAGCTGTGGCTCTAACACAGAGGGCCAGAGAGGGAGCTGCGGGGAGAGAGCCCTCCTCACTGACCTTGCCCTCCCCAGCCCATGAGGTAGGGCTGGTGTCTTTGCAGGTGGCCGGGCGGGAGGGACCCCTTTCTGCTTCTGTGCTGTTTGAGTATCGAGCCCGCCGATTCCTGTCACTGCCCAGTACTCAGCTGGACTGGTTGTCACTAGATGGTAAGTAGCTAGCCCCCTGATCCCAAGTGTCGGGCCCCACAACTTTGGAGCACGACACTCCTGGGTCCCCTCAGCACTCAGGTGGCCACCACCTAGCCCACATTTACCAGTCTTTTCTCAACTCCTGCGTCACTGGTCGTTTCTAAATGCAGCAGCAAACTTCCCTTCCCTCCTCTTCCCTGTGCATCTTGGAGCCATGTTTGTCTCAGTTCTTGCCCGTTCTTCTCCATCCCAAAGGATGGGATCTAGGCAAGCGAGGCCAAGAGGCGGGAGCAGGGACAGGGTCTAGATCAGTGATGGCAAACCTATGACACGCGTGTCAGAGGTGACACGCAAACTCATTTTTCTGGTTGATTTTTCTTTGTTAAATGGCATTTTAATATATAAAATAAATATCAAAAATATGTCTTTGTTTTACTATGGTTGCAAATATCAAAAAATTTCTATATGTGACACGGCACCAGAGTTAAATTAAGATTTTTCAAAATGCTGACACGCCGAGCTCAAAAGGTTCGCCATCACTGGTCTAGAGCAATATATAGGACGTGCAAGTGTGTACATGTATATAGACATGTATTGTTTTCCTCTCCATAAAGATAGGTATTTATCATAGGAAATTATAGAAAAGCACAAACTACAAATGAAAACTGCCGATATTACTACTCAGTAATATCTACCACTTTAATAGCATCCTGTACTTTCTCATACAAACACACTTTCTTATACAAACACAGACATGCATACATGCATGCGTATGTGTGTATTTATTTTTTAAGTATATTTTTATTGATTTCAGAGAGGGACGGAGAGAAACATCAATGATGAGAATCATTGATTGGCTGCCTCCTGCATGCCCCACAGTGAGGATCGACCCTGCAATCTAGGCATGTGCCCTGACTGGGAATCGAACCATGACCTCCTGCTTCATAGGTCGATGCTCAACCACTGAGCTGTGCTGGCTGGGCAGTGTGTATTTATTTAAATCCAGCACTGGCTTTGAGAAATTGTTTCTCTCTGCTCCTGCTTCTTTCTCAGGGTGTGTGCTTCTCGGTCTTCTCCTCTGGGTGTCTCTGTTGTTGCCTCTGGGTGTCTCAGTTCTGCTGTCACCCTGTGGTGTCTCTCTCCAGGCTCGTCCTGGCTCACCCCCCTCAGAGCTGCCCCTTCAGGGGGCTGTGTGTGGGCTGCCCGCAGCCTACCGTGGGATCTTGCCAGGTCTCCCAGGCCTGTTCTGTCTGTCCTGCTGTGACTGCCCCTTGCCTTCCTTTCCTGTCCCTGTTCTACCATCTCTCCTCCCTCTTTCATTTCTCCTTGGACCAGGGTCTTAACTTGTCCCCCTTCTTCTCTTCCTTGTTGCTTGCTTGGTACAGTCCCCAGCTTTCCTTCGTCCTCTCTCTCCTCTCTTCACCTTGTTTATCCTTTCTGCTCTTTCTCCTCCCTGTTATACAAAGGTCTCTGCTCATCCTTCTCCACCTTCCTCCCCACCATCACTTCTGTGCCTCAGCCCCTTCTGCCTAGCATCTCAGAACATCCCTGACCTCCAGCCTGTTTCTCGATGCTTGTTTTTCCATGGCTCTGATCCCCTCCCGCCCCTCCTCCTTGTCCTTGTGTGATCTCAAGAGGGGACAGATATAGCTTGGGATGTGTGTGTGCGCGTGTGTATTTGTGCATGGGGTGAGGGGAGGAGGAGGAATGGATGGCTATCCATCTCTGTCATGTTCCCTCCCCACCATCCTCTTTGTGGACAGCTGTGGGGGGCCAGGAGGAAGGGGCGGTGCTTTTCAAATCACAGTTCCTGAGCTCTTTGGGACTGTGAGTAACAGAGAGCAGGGACCCTGGAGTCCTTCGGCCCCAGCATGGGGGACAGAGGTAGTGTCTGGGGCAGGCGCGGACAGTGTTTCACCTAGGGGAAGGCTGAGGGAGTGTGTGTGACCTGGAGCAGTTCGGGGCTGGATACTGTGTGGGAATTCCTCCTGTCTCTGTGCCTTGAAGGACACCGTTGTGGTTCTGGATTCTGGTCCTGGGTGGATGAGTAGGGTTAAGGGCCCTAGCTTAAGGACTGAATTTCAAAGGTGGGTGGGTAAAGGGGCTGTTGTTTTGGAGGAGAAGAAAGAATATGATTCATTGTCTTTACCTCCCAGATCCTGGGATAGGTCTAGTTCTGTGTTAAGGGCATCACCTAGACCCTGCCGTAAGCTTCCCACACCCTTTCCCCCTCAGACAACCAGTTCCGGATGTCCATACTGGAGCGGCTGGAGCAGATGGAGAAGCGGATGGCAGAGATCGCAGCAGCTGGGCAAGCACCTTGCCAGGGTCCCGACGGGCCTCCAATGCAGGTACTTCCATGAGGGAGCCTGGTGGATGGAGGGAGGGTCTTCCTGCAGAAAATGGCTCTGGTGTGTGACTTCTCACTCCCCCGTCCCCAGCCCCCCGGCCAGCCCTCCTCCCTAATCCCTGACGTCACCTGCTCCCACCCCCGCCCTATGGCAAGAGTGGCTATTCTGGGCACCTCTTGGCATGGCAGGCTTCAGACTATTTCTGGGCTGAAGAAGGGTGGAGGTGAAGGAGAGGGTGGGGGAGGGGACCGGGAGGTTGGGGTTCAGTGCTCTGGGAGTCCTGCGTGTCTGAAGGAAGAAGACTGGCAGAGTACTCTGGGTTCTGAGAAGCATCTGTGGATATGTCACTAACCTGAGCTGACATGAAGGCACAACATGGGCCGGGGTGTGTGAGATCTGGCTGTCAGAGGGTCTGCAGGAAGTTGGCTATGGGAGGAGGGGACATCCAGGAACTTGAACTGGGAGAACTGACAGGCCATCAGAGGTCTGTGTGGTGGGAACCTGGAGTGAGAAGTGTCGGAGGGGCAGTTAGAAGCTGAGAGGCCAGGTGTGGGATGGCCAAGGCCATCTCAAGCCAGAGGACCTGCAATACACACAACCTACATAAGGTTGTGTGTATTGCAGGATGAAGGCCAGGGGCCCGGGTTCGAGGCACGGGTAGTGGTCTTGGTAGAGAGCATGATCCCACGCTCCACCTGGAGGGGTCCTGAACGTCTGGCCCACGGAAGCCCCTTCCGGGGCATGAGCCTTCTGCACCTGGCCGCTGCCCAGGGCTATGCCCGCCTCATTGAGACCCTCAGCCAGTGGCGGTGAGCAGGGGCAGCAGGGCGGGGACTGGGCAACCACTGGAACAGAAGTGTCGGGACTGAAGCCCTGCTGACAGGGGGCTGGAGTCACTGGGAAGGAAGAGGGGCTGGAAGGTTTGTGTTGGGAGGAATTTTAATATCCCCTGAGTTACAACACTGACTTCTTGACCGCCTTACATTTAGTTATTTTTCCATCACCATTTATTCTCTCTGTGCCCTCTTCCACGGCCACCCCCCAATCCCGCAATCACCACACTGTTGTTCATGTCACAAGTTCCCTTTTTCTTTCCTTTTTGTTCAATCCCTCCACCCTCTCCCAACACCCCCCCCCCATCACATTTATTACTTTCTGATTGCCTCATCCCACTGACTGTAGCGCTTCTAGACAGCTGGCTTCCCAGTCCCTTCAGTTCCCTTGTCCCCACTTTGCCCACTTTTCCCCTAACTGGGCTCTGCTGTCCCTTCCCCAAACCCTCCAGAAGTGTGGAGACCGGAAGCTTGGACTTAGAGCAGGAGGTTGACCCGCTCAACGTGGATCATTTCTCTTGCACGCCTCTGGTGAGGGTGCTGGGGTCCCGAGTGCATGTGGGGCGTCGGGAGAGGGGAAGGGAGGGCCTGCAGGAGTGGGGAGGACAGGGGACTGAAGATGCGCCACCAGGAAAAGGGCCTCGGCCTCACCTCTGCCTGTCTCCCCTCCTGTCCTTGCCCTGCCCCTCCTTAGATGTGGGCGTGTGCCCTGGGACACCTGGAGGCCGCTGTGCTCCTTTTCCGTTGGAATCGGCGGGCGCTGAGCATCCCCGACTCTCTGGGCCGCCTGCCCCTGTCTGTGGCTCACTCCCGGGGCCACGTGCGCCTTGCCCGCTGCCTTGAGGAACTGCAGAGACAGGAAGCTTCAGCCGAGCCCCCACTTGCCCTGTCGCCACCCTCCTCCAGTCCAGACACGGGTGAGGGTTACCCCTCATCTTTTTAAGAGGGGGATGTGGGGGAGACAATAGGCCAGGGGAGCTGAAGTGTGGGGGACAGAAAGTGTGAGAAGAGGGAAATCGAGGAGGAGGCAGGGAAGGGGAGATCCTACTAGCAAGGACAGACAGGGAGACAGAGCAAAGACGGGGCAGGTAGGCGACTCTAGGATGGCAGATGGCCCCTGCTGCCCTCACCATCTCCCCTTACCTTCCAGGTCTGAGCAGTGTCTCCTCGCCCTCAGAGCTGTCCGATGGCACTTTTTCTGTCACATCAGCCTATTCTAGTGCCCCAGATGGAAGTCCTCCCCCCGCTCCTCTGCCAGCCTCTGAGATTATGGAGATGGCCCCAGGCCAGCTCTCCTCTGGTGCCCCAGAGGCCCCCCTACTCCTCATGGACTATGAAGCCACCAACCCCAAAGGGCCCCCACCCTCACCACCTCCTCTCCCACCAGCCCTGGATGCAGGGGCTGCTCCAGAGGAAGCTTACAGCCCACCGGCTGTGGACGTGATCCCGGTACTGCTTGTGTGATGGAATTATGAGGGCCAGAAAGCGGGTGCAGGGGTTGGGGGAGGCCGACTAGTTCATGAAACAGACTGAGTCCTGCTTCAGTTTGGGAAGGAGCAGCTATTGGCCCTCATTTTTGGATAAGCAAGGTAATCCTCTGCTTAACTTCTGTCAGAGCTTCACTCAGAGTCATGAGGCATCAGAGCTTACAAATTCTGGGGAATATCTTCAGTTAGAGCTGGATTGTAGGGGGTGCCTGTTGACCCATGAAGAGACAAGCTTCTTGGGGAACCAGAGAGAGAGAGGGAAATTGGGAGGGTTGTGGAAGAGAGAGCTTGGCAAGATGGAGGTATCTGGCAATGACTTTTGGAGAGGAGGAAGCTTATACATAGTAAAAGCTAAGAAACTCTTCTGGGATAAATGACAGAGTAAATCTTTAGGTATAGCAGCAAGAACCGGAGGACATGCCTGCTTTAGAGAGGCTGATGGGTTAGAGAGGTCAGGGTAGCACTGTAAGTACAAAAACCTGGAGACTTCCACAAGGTAGGCTGTGTTACATGTGGCCAGCAGGAAGTGCTGCAGGCTGCAGGACTGGAGCAAAAGCAAGGCTGAAGCCATTCAGTAGGGTCATGTGGTTGGTTGAGCTGGTTCTTAGAGAGCTGAAGGGGGGTGGGGTGGCAGGCATGGCCAAACCTGGGGGTAGGATGTGCTTGCATGGGCCAGACCTGGGTGGGACAGTAAGCAGTCAGCCTGGAAGACTAAATCCTTCATTGCTCAGCTTGAATCTCCATTTGGAGTATGTCCTCCCTGTCCTGTGTTCTCCACAACGTCTCAACACAGGTGGAGACCCAGTAAGTACAAATGAATGAATCTGGAACAGTGGCTGAGAAAGGTGGGGTGAGAAAGGACAGCAATCCCTGAGGCCTCACCCGATGGGAGAGAAGGAACAAGACAGGAAGGGGACCGAGGCAACAGCTGTGTCAGGGCAGGAACATCTGTCACTGGGGACCCCCAAGGCTCACCCCGCTTCTCCATCCAGGTGGACATGATCTCACTGGCCAAGCAAATCATCGAAGCCACACCAGAGCGGATTAAACGAGAGGGCTTTGTGGGGCTGCCTGAGGCTGGAGCCTCAATGCGGGAGCGGACAGGGGCCCTGGGGCTCAGCGAGACCATGTCCTGGCTGGCCAGCTACCTGGAGAATGTGGACCATTTCCCCAGCGCCGCCCCTCCCAGGTGACCAGCTTAGGACAAAGCCTCCAGATTCTTGTTTAAGGGAAGATGGCAAGGGGAAGGCAGCTTCCCCATAGCCAGAGGCCCTCGGGCCTTTGAGGGCATTGAAGCTGGCTGAGCTCTGAAGCCATGTTCTCCAGGCTCCGTTGCTGGGGCTGTCCCTGGGCAGAAGAGGGACTTCACATGCCCCGTGACTTGTCCTCTCCCTGTCCCTGCAGCGAACCGTCTTTTGAGCGGGGACGCCTGGCGGTCCCTCCAGCACCTTCCTGGGCAGAGTTTCTCTCTGCATCTGCCAGTGGCAAGATGGAGAGTGATTTTGCCCTGCTCACATTGTCGGATCATGAGCAGCGGGAACTGTACGAAGCAGCCCGAGTCATCCAGACGGCCTTCCGAAAGTACAAGGTCAGGAGGCTGGGAGGTCTCAGGGAAAGAATTACACAATCTTTGAGTCAGGGGAGACTGCGGACTCCCAGGACTTTGGGAGGGAGAGCAGTCATCCAAAGTGGCCTTGGGCTGAAGGCCAGGGGACCTCAGGGAAGTTGGAAGGACAGATCACAGGCCTATTAGGTGGGCCTTTAGGTGCTGAGACTTCCTGCTTTCCCCTTAGGGCCGGTGGCTGAAGGAGCAGCAGGAGGTAGCAGCAGCTGTGATCCAGCGCTGTTACCGGAAGTACAAACAGGTGAGTCCCTGCTCTCTCTAAGGCATCACCAACCACTCCCACCCAGAGCATCCAGAATGCTGCTGGAACCCTGACTCCCTTCTCTCTCCACAAGCTGACCTGGATGGCACTTAAGGTATTAGGCATGAGATCCGGGTGTGAGGTTGTCTGTGGTGATTCAGGCCTTTCCACGAGCGTGTGGATCAGAGAAAGAGACCTGCACCAGCTGAACTTGGGGTGACCCTCAGGGGTTTGGTTTCTGTCCCTCCAATTCAGCCCGCCTCTCCTCCCCACTCCTAGTTTGCTCTCTATAAGAAGATGACGCAGGCGGCCATCCTGATCCAGAGCAAGTTCCGAAGCTACTACGAACAGAAGCGGTTTCAGCAGAGCCGCCGGGCAGCTGTGCTCATCCAGCAGCACTACCGCTCCTACCGCCGCCGGCCCACGGGCAGCCTGCCGCCCCGCAGCAAGTAGGGGTCCAGCCCCCAGCCCTCTGCCTGCCACTGCATCCATGCCCATAGCCTCCCAACTCCCAGCTCATCGTCCTGCCCCCCCAGTCCTTCCTTGCTAGGGTCCCAAAGGGCGGAGGACGGGATGCCTGAGTGTTGTGTGAGTTTTCCTCATCTTTTCTTCCTTTTGCCAGAAGCTCCTTTCTCACCAAAAAACAGGACCAGGCAGCCCGGAAAATCATGAGATTCCTGCGGCGCTGCCGACACAGGTACCCATTTTTTCTCCTGCAGGATTTTGCTCAGCCACCTCCATCACCCACCTCCCCTGATCTGCTGATCTCATCTGACTCCTTCCTTGTTTCTTTGCAGGATGAGGGAACTGAAGCAGAACCAGGAGCTGGAAGGGCTGCCCCAACCTGGACTGGCCACCTGACCTCTCCCCACTCTGAGGCCGCTCCTGGCAGTCTTAAGGGAGAGGGCTCTCGCGGGGAGGAGCCCCCTGTCGGCAGCTTTCCTCGTCACTTTGTTTGGAGATCTTCCTAGGTCTCTACTCTCCCCCCTCTCCGAAGTGCTGAACTCCCTCTCCTACCCCCAGCTCCTTTTCCCTCCGGGTCGTGCCCCCTCTTTTGGTCCCCGGCTCCAGAAGACCCACGCCCCGCATACCTGCATCTTCAGCTGTGACCTCCGGAGCCCCGCCTGCCCCTTCTCCACAGCTCCCCCCTTGCCTGCACCCGCTCACCCCTTTCCCGAATTGCCTTATTTATTTGTTCGAAGCGTCTCTGAATGTATCGGCCTGGCCCCACCTCTGCCTTCGCTGCGCTCGCCCCTCGTGTTTCAGGGCTGACCGTGCCCCCACCCGACTCCGCATGTTCGCGTCCGTTTCCTCCCTTTCTGGCCCCGTCTTCCCCCCGTCACTCCAACTCTGGCCACCAACCTCGGGGCCACAGGGGAGACTGTATATAGGAACACGTTGCGGAGTCCCACCCCATCCCCTGATGGGAGGGGGTTTGTAAATATGTAACATACAGAGTTTAGTGAAGAATCTATTTAAGGCGCCCGGGGAGGGCTGCACGGCCGGGCTTGTGGTTCCCAGGCGCTGTGGGGGGCCTCCGCCGGCCCCACGAGCACTTTCTACTTGTGCATGGGCTCAGTTTCTAAGAAATGCCATTAAACATCGCTGCACCAGACCGCCTCCGACTTCTGTCTAAGGGGGAGGGGAGGGCCGGGGCGGGGCTTCGGCAGGGGAGGCTGCCGCGCGCCAGGCCAGTTCAGTGCCTGGGCGGGACCGGTGTGAGGTTTTCCACCTCCGACGTGTTTCCGGCCTTTTAAAGGCATTTCGCCCTTCCCTTTAAGACGCACCGCCCCGTCTCTGTCACTCCCAAGATGGCGGACCTACTGGGCTCCATCCTGAGCTCCATGGAAAAGCCACCCAGCCTCAGTGACCAGGAGACTCGGCGCAGGGCCCGAGGTGAGGATCCCAAATTCACATCTGCTTTTCTTCATTCGGTTCTCAGGACCGCATTCTTCCTCCTTTAGACGGTGCCGCCTCTTCCACCTTGAAAACCCCCTCAAAGGCCCCTTCATAGGCCCCCCAGAATCCCTACAAGGTCTGCTGACCCGCCCGCTGTTCGTAGCGGACGGTGATTGGCTACCCGAAGCCTAGTGCCAGTTTCCTGCCTCTTTCCTGGCCTCGCAGTCCTTGTTTTCTATTCGCCAAGAGGCCCGCCTGTCCGCTGCTGGCGTGCTCTGATTGGTAGATTGCCTCCGACCCCACCCAACTTGGTGCTTCTTGGCCCGTCTTCGGGTCGCAGGAGGGCGTGTTCGGCCACTCAGCCCCTCCCAACTCCGGAGTGTCCCGACCCATTCCCATTCCGATTGGGTCCAGGACACGCCCATCTGCAATCCTTTCACCTCTATTGGCCATCTTAAAGGCCTGCCTATTAAAGGCCTTCCTCTGGCCCACCCACCCACCTCAAGCACCTCCAATTGGTTGATGGGTCCTTTCAGTGCCCTTATGCCCCTCCTACTTGACTTAACCTCTTTCCTACCCCTGCCCATCTGTAGCCTTACTTTCCGCAGTTCTCCGAGCGGGCGGTGATGTTGATTGGAGAGAAGAAAATGCCTCAGTCGGTCCGATTGGCTGTAGGCACTTGGGTTCTCTGAGTGACTTCCCTGTAGGCGGGCTCCTGAGTTCGCCCGCCAGCGTAGGGCGCGGTCGGCCTGGCGTGCAGCCGTCCCCTGGGTTGCTCGTGCTGCGGCGTGTGAAGGAGTCAGACAGAAGTGCCTTGGGGAGGACCCAGCCCCCAACCCTGCGAGACCACAGACTAGCCCCGGCCCGGCCTCCGGCTTCCCACCCGCCCTAGGGGCCAGGGCAGGCCGGATGCCTCCAGTGAGCTCAAGTGCTGCTTAATAGCGAAATATCTATTATTTACTGAACGGTTGCTAGGAGCCAGGGTACCCTCCGAAGCCCACAGTCTGAAGCATTGATGAAATGCACGTTGATTAAATGATCACATAGAAGTTTAATTATCAATTTAATAAGTACTCTGAGAGAAAAATAGTTGAGAGCGACCACCGAGGGGTCCTTAACCTAGTCTGTGGTGACCTGGGATCTGAAGTGAAGGAGAGGTGATTCAGTAAGAGAGGGGGAGCGAAGTGTTACAGGCAGATGCGTATTTGGAAGCTCTGAGGAAGGAGGGAACATAATGGACCTGGCAGATGGGATTATTTCATGCTCGCCATGACTAGGTGCAGCAGCAGCAGCTGGCAGATTAGGAAGCCAAAGTTGAGTTTAGTCACTTACCTGAGGTCACAAGGTTAATAAGTGACAGGGTTTTGAATCCAGGTGTGGCTTTTAAGCCTATGACCTTAACCATCATCATTTGCCATCTCAGATACAGAGAGAACTCAAACCAGTTGTGGAACACTCAGTGGCCACTAGTTGTCAGAGCCCTTGATGTCAAACAGATGAGAGCTCCTAAGCTGTCAGGGGCCACAGAGAATAACTGGGTAGGAGGTGAGCAGGGTCCCTGGCTCCTAGAGCTTCTAGGATGGTAGGGGAGACAAACAGTTAACTATATTGGTGCTCAGCACATGCTGTAGTGGATGTCTGAGCCGAATGTGTGGGCCCCAGAGGAAGAAGTGAGTAACCCTGACTCATGGCAAATCTCAGAGTCTGCAAGAGGAGGAAAAGCATTTCACGCAGAAGGAACAACATGTGCAAAGGCAAGGAGTGGTTAGGAAAATGGGAAGAGGTCAGTGCAGCTAGAGCTATTTGGATGCTGTGGAAGAAATGGGCCTTAAGGATATAAAGGATTTAAAATGACAGAGGAGAGGAGAGGGGACATTAAGATGTAAGGATGGGAAGTTCCTCTACAGTTGACTTTGAACACCTACACTCTCCAAGGAGAAGGGTGTCAGATGAGTCATTTCGGCTTCATCCTGTCTGTAGAAGTGAGAAGTTTCGAGGGGCGGGGTTTACAAAATAAAGGTAGGAAGTTAAATAATTTCCCCTTTCCGATGTAGACAATGAGATGATAAACTCTTTAAGGCCAGGGCTTAGTCTGGTCTCCTTACCTCCGCAGGTGCCTTATATTGTGGGTATGAAATGTCTGTGACTCGGTTTCCCCTGTGAGATTGGGAAGTGAGGGGAAGCATGATTCTAATCTTTGCTACTCCTCCTCTGAGCTCTTGAAGGGCAAAGCTATGTCTTACAGAGCTTGGTGCTCCAGGGCCTAGGACAGTGCCAGGTTTAAACATCGATAAATGCTTGGTGAATAAACAGCAGCCCTCCCTTCCCAGCCTGAGACCTCCCAGTGGACACCAGACCTCCCCTGAAGCCTTACAACCGCCCCACCCATGCGTCTGCCCTGGCCTCATGCTGTCATTTCTCACCCCCAGAGCAGGCTGCCCGCCTGAAGAAACTACAGGAGCAAGAGAAACAACAGAAAGTGGAGTTTCGTAAAAGGGTGAGAACAACTGGAGAGATCAGGGCAGCCTCAGGAAGGATTTCCAATAAGTTAGAATTAGAACTCGGTGATTCTGAAAATGCCTCAGGAGGCGTGAAGCCTGGAAGCCAATGGCATGGAGGCCGGGTTAGGTGTGGGAGGCAAAGGCCCGTAGGCCCAGCTGGGAAGAGGGAGATTGGGGCAGAGCCATCGTCTCATCTCTTCTCCCCCTTTCCCTCTCCCAAGATGGAGAAAGAGGTGTCCGATTTCATCCAAGACAGTGAGCAGATCAAGAAAAAGTTTCAGCCGATGAACAAGATAGAGAGAAGCATACTGTGAGTGTCTCGGCTGGGGAGGCAGGAAACGGATGGCCAGGGCGGCATGAAAGGTCCAGTGGGGAAATCCACAAGAGGAGGGTGCGAGGCCCCCTCATGGCTCTACACACTCTCTCCTCTCTGTCCCCCCTCCCTTTGCAGACACGACGTGGTGGAAGTGGCTGGCCTGACATCCTTCTCCTTCGGGGAAGATGATGAATGTCGCTATGTCATGATCTTCAAAAAGGTAAAAGGCCTGAGTTCCCCACTCTCACCCTTTCAGCCTTTGCCCCCCTGGGGAAGAGAAATGAGATGAAACATGTCTATGGAGCCTTGACGCCATCATCCCTCTTCCCCAGGAGTTTGCACCCTCAGATGAAGAGCTGGACTCCTACCGTCGTGGGGAGGAGTGGGACCCCCAGAAGGCTGAGGAGAAACGGAAGCTGAAGGTGAGTTCTGCCTGGCAGTCCCTGGAGCCCACCACCTGGGAGGGGTTTGGGTCAGGTCCCTGAGCACCAGTGCTCCACTTCTGCACCCTAGGAGCTGGCCCAGCGGCAGGAGGAGGAGGCAGCTCAGCAGGGACCTGTGGTAGTGAGCCCCACCAGTGACTACAAGGACAAGTACAGCCACCTCATCGGCAAGGGGGCAGCCAAGGATGCAGCCCATATGCTACAGGCCAACAAGACCTATGGCTGTGGTGAGGCCACAGTGGGGGCTGGGGAGGGTAGGAGAGGGAAGGCTAAGGCACAGGGATCCTAGGCCCTCCCCACCCTTTCCTCTGCCCCTAGTGCCCGTGGCCAACAAGAGGGACACACGCTCCATTGAAGAGGCCATGAATGAGATCCGAGCCAAGAAGCGTCTGCGGCAGAGTGGGGAAGAGTTGCCACCTACCTCCTAGGCACCCCAGCTCTCTGGGACGGGGTAGGGAGGGACAGGCTGCTGCTATTAAAACCCATTCTGGAGCCCCACCTCTGAACCACCTGCTAACGGCCATCACTTAGGCTGGAGGAAGCAGGTGTTTGATTTGTCACTCTTAGTTTGGATATGTATATGGTTGTGTGTGTGTGTGTGTGTGTGTGTGTGTGTGTGTGTGTATGCGTGCGCACGAGAGTGAATGCACAGGTGGGTATTTAATCTGTATTATTCTGTTCTCCTTGGAACTTTCTTCCCCATGGGGTTGGGGTTACTTTACATTCAATAAACACTGTTTGAACCAATGTCTTGGTTTGTTTAAACAGGTTAAGAGGTGGGTCCTGGAGAGGAAGAGAAGTGATTTTAGCTTGAGCAGGATAAAACTGTTGTTTGTGTAAGCCAAAGATAACCAAATATTGGCACTTTCATAAGAGAGAGTATTTTAAGAGCACAATTGCTAGGGCCAGATGGCCTAGTTTTGGATCCTGGCTCTGCCAGTTACTGTTACGTTGGATGGGGTATTTGACTTTCTTGTGCCTCAGTTTCCTTACCCATAAAATGGGGATAATGATGGTAACTATCTGAAAGGACTGTTTCAAAGATTACACAAGTCAATATATGTCAGATACTTAGAGCAGTTGCAGATCTTTGAGCTCCACAGAAGTGGTAGCTGCTCTGGTTTTCACGGTCATCTCACAAAGCACCTGACTTCGACACCACACACTCTGCAGACTGTACTCCAACTTACTGGCAGATCTGATCCAGCTTCCCCTCATGGTGATGTCAGACCCCCAGTCCCCCCCTTCTTCTGGTTCTAGTTCCATGTTCTGTCAGTGCTTCCAGCTTCATTTCACATGTGGCACCTGCTTCCCCCAGCTCCTTCACAATGTGAACTTTGTTGTCCTAGATTCAGCCCAACTTCCTCAATGACTAGTCCCTCACTTCCTCTTTGTCACAGCAGGTGATACATCTATTCTCTCTTTCCTGCCCCATCTCCTGACTTTTCCAGTCC